CTGTTTTTGCAGTAAACCTTATGACAAACCTCAGCACAACTGCCCTCTTCTGATGCCATCTGTGATGTCCTTATCTGTTGCAAGCTCACTATTAAACTTTCACGAAGGAATGGTGCCACATGTGGTCCCACCTGCCTGCCACTGACAGTCATTAGCACCTCCAGCCACCACAATCTCTATTGTGCCTTCAACATTCTCATCAAAACCCTGAGACAGGTACACCAGCTATTTATGTCAGTCACCTTGAATGGTCTCTTGAAATGTGTTAACTATTTATGCTAAACAATCTACCACAGCTAAATACAATGTGGAACACTCTGATTACGTTTCTTAGACCTGAAGAGCAGCTCTGTGTAAGCTTGTCTCTCTCACCAACAGAAGTTGGTCCAATAAAAGATATTATCTCACCCACCTTGTCATTCTACGATATAAGCAGTTTTAAGTGGGGAAAAAGTCAATTTTACATACATGACTCCTGGTCATAAATCTGAGTGACACAGTCTGAAGCAAGCAGTTCTAATCAGGTATGTAGTCATACTACTAGGCTTACACAGCCCCCATGTGTATTCCTATAGCAGAAGTATGTTTTTTCTGGCTTAGAATAAATTGTGTGTCCTATACGCTATTCATTGATTTATAATTATAATTTGAAGTTACAGCAAGCTACATGAACACGTTTTTTATGCATTTCATGACTTATTTTAAGGCAATAAAAACTAGTGATGGATATGGTATAAAAATACGAACCGATTTACATAAATCACACCCTTATTCCCAGCTTTAGACTTGCTCATGTAAAACTTGCACAGAGTTTCACACCATGTCTCAAGATGCACTGCTTTCTCAGTATGCAAAATGATTGTTCTGCCCTTATGTATATGCAATTGTTTTCTAGAGCATATGTACATGTATCTGTCATGTCAAAAGCCCATGGTATTTCTCACTTGAGTCTCATTTTAGTTACTATTAATCTACAACAGCTCTTCTCCCTCTCAAGATCCTGTTAGCCTTTATGAAAGTAGAAGAAAATGCCAGGGGCTAAAAAACTACATCATGTACAACTTGACACACGTTACTCAGGATTGTGTGTGTATTTTATGGCAACTTAAAACCTTATTCTCTCTATAGACACTTTTCAGCAAATTCTTTGATATGCTCTATCGCTTAAACAATTCAAATGGAACACAAAACAATCCCTTCACTTTCAGCTGTATTTGACAGTACAGCTAACAGAAGAGTTTCTGTTGATTTTTTTTTTATTACAAAACAGAAACCAAACACCACTCATTAAAACTGGTTTATTTCAATCTCAAAAAAAAAGAAAAGAAAACAGGCAACTGGTATCTTTTATGCCTGCATTTGGATCAAAGACTGCAATCTCACCAGATGTCTCCACCCTAAGCTAGACACAGTGAATATTTGGATGGGAAAACTTTGAGGAAAACTGCTGCAGAATGCGGTGTTGGTAGTTCATAAGTGGCACTCTTCAAATCTGCATTTAACCTATACCATAGCATTAACCTAAGGGGCACTGTGCTGTTGGAGATGCCAGCTTTCAAATGAGATATTACTGAAATCCTCAGCATCCACGATCATTAATGATCCCATGACACTTTTTCCTACAAGAGCAGAGATGTTAAGTCTAATATTCTAGTCAAATTCCAGTTTAGGTAATTACAACCTACATGTCCTCCGCAATTTCCAATTAAACTGAAGACAATATTCTGCTTTTCCTATAGAATCTAAATTATATACAGTACAGTGATTATCGCTTAAAAGTGAAATTCCGTGTTTAGTGATGTTGAAAAAAGTTCCAAATCATTTCAATGCATTGCAATTTTGGTTATAGTGAATTGCCACTGAAAGCCAAGTTGTTCTCTGTGGGGGGGAAAAGAAGATTGCATTGTAAGGGCAACCTATATATTTAAATGCAAAAGCTGATGAATATGTTTGTTTCAATGGCCCATAAATGTTTGGTTTGAATAAAAGATTGCCTAGATTTATTAGAGAAGTAAGTTTTTATAAGTGTATCCTTTATTATATTGCTATTTTCTGACTTCCTAAAGCAACATTTCACAGGAAATCAACGGATATCCCTTTGTCTCCTCCAGGTTGGGTTGAATTATTCTTCATCTTTTTCCAGTGATAGAAGAATACTGTCACAAGATTCTGTATTGCATAAAGACTCCTGCCCTCTTTAGACTGACAGCACTAACAAGTCCAACACTTGAAGTATGAACCTTAAAAAACAGAGGCCCCAAATCAAGACTGTCATTCTTATTTACAGTTATTTAAGCACCAGCAATCTTAGAAGTGGGAAAATGTTCAGTTCTTCAATAAACTTTTAGAAAACAGATCAGTGGTGACAGCAACATCCAGTTACCTTAATGTAAATATAATACTCATAATGAAGCTCTTCCACCAAAATTGACATTCACACATGTAGTCTTGTCTTACTGAAATTCCTCAGAGGATGAAAGCTAACTTACAAAACAAACACACCCCACATCAGTTTCATGGTGAGACAACAAATTAAATCCTGTCCACTGCAGAGACCCTGGAGGTAGATGTAGACCCTCTTCAAAATCAGGTGCCGGATGAAAGAGTCACTATGGATTTCATAATCTAACAGGCTTCCTAATGCATGTAATGATTTCAGTGAGCCAACAACGTAAAATAGCACACTGGGAAATTAAAAAATTAAGGTTTTAATTAATTTGAGCCTTTTAATAGTTAGTTGTGAGAAAATGTGTTGTAGCCCTGACACAAATATTACTGTATCTTTATTCAAGCATTTCCAAGTTGGCCTCACCATCAAGTCTGGCGCATAAACTTAAAACCCCCCACCAAGGTAGTACTTCCATAAAGAAAAGGAGGATAATGAAATGAGCAAGCACACAGGAGCTGCAGTAAGACCTGAGCAGGGGAGACTGATAAATGAATCTGCTTCTTTCTAAGTCTACTCTGCTGTCTCATGTGCTTCCAGCAGTGACAGAGAGAATCATTCTAAATTTACCTGCAAAACCAAACCAGTTATTAAAATACCCTTCTTTTTTGTGCTTCATTAAAACAATGGACTTTTTTATTCCTTGATTCATCACATTTTACAGTAAAAAAAAAAAGTCCCACTATTGATGAATTCACTGAGGCGGTGTCTACACTGCCACTTTCAGCACTAAACCCCTGAACGACTAAAGTTTTGAAAAAACACCCCCGCCCCGAGCGACAAAAGTTTTACCACTGAAAAGTGCCAGTAGAGACAGTGCTTTATCGCCGGGAGCTGTGCGATGTTACCTCAGCACTGCAATTCTACATTTCTGAGTCACGCTTATAATGAAATCATTTCACTTTATGCACTTCACATAACAAGAAGTAACCATGCAAGGGTTCACAAATACTGTATCATGGCCATGGCGCAAAGCATGATAAACTAAATCTTTAAAGGTTCCCTTGTCTACTACAGTATACCAAGCAGTTCTACTATGAGTTAAAAAACAAGTCAAAGGAAAATCAGAGGCATCCTTTAAATCAGAAATGCCCACAAAAATGTATTAGAGCTGCCCCTATCTTTTCAAAGAGACAGGTAGGGTTTTAATCGCATGACTGCCAATTACAGTTCTTGGATTTTGTATCTATAGCTTGTTCAGTCTGAAGTGAAGCGACAACAAGATGTTCTAGGATAGGTCTCATGTATGAAAAAAGTAGATATTTATTTAGCGAATGGGAGCTGGTGATCTATATTCCTACAGATTAGGACAAAAAGATGACAAATATTCCATTACAATGGTAGTTTACAGCTGTTAAATTAAATGGAATATCATTTCCCAGTAAAGACCTCCATCTGTATATATGAATCTTTGCTTGTTAACTTTAGAAACAATTTGCCCAGCATTGATCAGCAAGAAGAACTCTTCATTTACAGGTACTCAGTTACAATCAAAATGAGAGATTCATTCTTCATTCCAGCAGCTTTTATCCTAAGAGGGCAAAAGGAAGCCAAGTCTGATGCATGTACAAAAAGTGCACTCATATGATTAATGTAAAAGCAGACATCTAAGCCAATGAACTGAGCAGGGCTACCAACTGTAGCGCTTCAGTGTAGACATTACTTATGCTGGCAGAACGGGTTCTCCCAGTGCTGTAATTAATCCACCTCCCAGAGAGGCAAAAGAATTCTTCCATCAACCTAGTACTGTCTACACCAGGGGTTAGGTCAGCTTAGCGATGTCATTCAAGGATGTGGATATTTCACACCCAGATCTATGCCGATGCAAGTTCCCAATATGGATCAGTCCAAAGGATATGGAAGAAAAAAACCCTCCTACCAGGGCTTGAAACACACACGCCTGGTAGAGTGGTGGGGGAGGGAGCACAGAGTCCCAGACACTGCCCCCCAACCCAAACAATGCTTCTGGGATTACCCCCATACTGCTGCCCCTAGACCCTGCTCAGGCGGGGTCAGAGAGGCGAGGCCTCGGCACTCCCCCCCCCCGTCTCTGCTCCCACCCTCAGAAATCCCCCCGTCACTGGTGGTGGGAAAGGTGCCCATTACCCCACAGCTCTCATAGCCCCTGGGAGGCCCCTGCCCTTCCCCTGCTTCAGTTATATCCTCCCCCCGCCCCGCCTGCCAGACCAAGGCGGCAGCGCGGACGCAGTGAGCTGGTTGCTTCTCAGTTTCTCTGCTGCCCCGGGGGGCGCCGCCAGCACTACGACGAGGGCAGAACGCGACCCGCGCCTCGTTGGCCGCCCAACAGCAGGCCCAGAACCGCCTGCCCTCAGGCTCAGACGGAGCGTCGGCACAGCCTCCCCTTCCCCCCGCTCCCGCGGACAGAGCCGAGCCCAGCCCCGTGTGCGCCTCACTCCCTACCTCACTGCCACAGCCCGCTTCCGCGTTCCCGAGTCCCGAAGAGGGGGGCCTTACTGCAGCCAATCAAAACCGCCGGCTGCCGCGCGCAGTTACAGTCTTGCACCTCCCAGTCCCACCCCCTCCGGGAGCCGCCTCCAATCAGGACGCGCAGTGGCTCCGATGACGCCTGTCAGTCACGGACCGGCATTTCCCCGACCAACCAGAAGAAAGCTAAGCGCCGTCTCTTCTGGTTCCGTCTCCTCGGTCACGGAAGTGTGATGTGGCTGGAAGCGGGGAGCTATGGTAAGGGCGGAGGGTGTTTGTCGGTCTTGCCGGCCGCGCGGCTGTGCCGCTTCCCTGCCTGTCCCTCTCCCCCAAGCTATGAGGGGCTCCGACCCCACGAGCTCGCGGCCGGCCGGTCTCTGTGAGTGACGCGCTTGGCTTGCGGCGCCTGCCCAGGGCCCCCCTCCCACTTCAGCAGCCGAGCTGGAGGCTCAGTCTGGTGTCCGGGGCGGCGCGGTTGCTCCTCACCCCACCGTGGTCTGCGCGCGGAGCCCCCCGCTGGCTCCATTTCGGGCTCAGACAGCCCGCGAGCCTGTCCCGGTTCGGTCACCAACGCCTGGTTTGAAAAATTAGCTAAGAGCGTGCTTGTGACGTCATTCAGCGACCCAGGCAGGAGCAGGGAAAGGATGGGAGAAATCTCTCACCGGCCCCCTTAACTAGCACGTGATGTATATCAGCTTCTTTGGTTATCACCCAACAGCCTCTACTCTGACCCCTGGCCTGGCGTCTTTGACATTTGTGTCTTGGCTTCATTTCTTTAAAGGGCTAAATATACTTAACTCACATTTCCCATTTGTCAGCTGGCAATTGGATTCTTGATAACACACTGGTGACTGATGTTTCTTTAAAATAATGTGGGTAGTTAGAAAAGAACGATTATATATGTGGACTTGCACCTGAGGCTAATCAATAAATATTATTATGACTTTGGGTTCGGAAGGATTTTTTTGTGTTTACATTGTGAGACTAGGGGTCAAGGAATAGTATTTATTTTGGGGTCAGAGTTAAGGTTGTTACAGTTTGATAAAATATGCATTTCTGTGCTGGTTAAGGATAAGATGCTTGTGAACAGTGTAAGATTAATGATGTAATTACTTCTTCTCTTGCTTTTAAGTGTTTGATGTTAATGTGAGTTAGGTAAGAATGTCATTCATTAAAATCGTCATGCTTATGATACCTTCTGAGTTATTGAAGTACAAGTTGGCTAGTCTCCTCTTGGTTTGGTTTTGTCAGGCTGTAGTTCTCGACAGTGATAAGGTATCACTTTCTGTCCACAGCCCTGCCTTATAGTTCAACAGAACCTGTATCCTGCTTCCAAAAAAGGGGGTGAAAGACCTAAGGAGGGTTTCTAGCCTGTGGATCACGACCCCAAAAAAGAGCCATTAGTAGTTGCTTGTGTAAGAATTCCTTGGCAGATCTTTCTGATGTGCTGTGTCTGGTAGGCAGAGTGTCAGACAAAGCAGTTATCTGCCTGGTGTGTTGCATGTCTCTGAAAATATATGGACACTATGGAGGATGAGCATAAGTGCAGTTTTCCCTGTTCACCAGAAGCCTGGGAGAGCTGTAGAACTTTCATATCTTTATGACTTTTCCAATGGCACTTTGAAGGATTTGAGGATGTAGGATCATAGAAGGGAAAAAATTGAAAACTCCTGTCCTAAAACATAAACTAAGATAGCCACATTGATCAAGGGGTCATTTAGTTAGTTAAATTTGGCTCTTTAAGTGCAAAACTGAAGAAAAATCTGGGATCTATGTCTACCCTGAGATTAATTTTTCTGTAAAAGTAGTAGAAGTCCAAGTAAGGGCATGTTCTGTATAGAGCAACTACCTAGAAAAATCTTGTTCTGACCAGTGAAACATACTGCTCTGAAAAAGTTGGGCTATGTATTCCAAGGAGCATAAAGGAAACTGGGGGACTTACTTTATTTGATTTCTGCATGCTTCACAACAAAGGGAAGGGAATGGGAGCAGTTCAGGCAGGTGATGAGAACTGCAAATCACAGGGAGCCCTAGGCTCTGAAGGGAAACCAGGCTCCATTATGGCAGATCCTAGGTCTAGGACTATTAAGCAGGAAGCTGGCCCTTCTGTGGTGCTTACCTCTGGTAGCATGACTGTGAAGAACTATGCTATTGCCTGTCGCTCATCTGTGAAGATCATCCAGTAGAGCTAGAAGAAATGGGCCATGTTTAATGTTAGTGTGATGAACAGAGTCTTTCATTGCTGCGGTGAAAGACTTCCATAGTGGGGAGATGCTGGAGCTTTTCCCCACAGCTTCAGCCTTTCCCTACTGCTTGTGTGTGTAGAGAGCCATGTACGGTACATACATTAAGGGTTCAGGTGTGTCTTTACTCACCTAAGCCATGCCTCATGGTCTACACTGCTATTTATGCCCATGCTACAGGGGTGAGAAGTGCACGTACATTACCCACTGCCGTAAGTAAGTGCAGTATAGACATACCCTTAGTGCGAACTGGGGAGAGTAGAGTGGTCAGGACCATTTCAATTCTACAATTCTGTCAAATTTTGCCACAAAACTCTACAGCCCCGAAACTAGGATGTCAGTAAAAGCCAAAAATTGAGTTTCTAACTTTTGTGATTGAGGGGGAAAAGACATTCCAAATATGATTTGAATGTAAACTTAATTCATTATGGTCTTCCTGAAACTGCAGATAGCTTTAAACAGTAGTTCTGTGAAGTGTGAACTGCTCCCATCCATCTCAGTATGACTATTGACTTTGAAGTCTTATTAATTATTGCCTTTTAAATGCCAATATTAACTATTTCACTATTTAACGTTTTAGTAGAAGCAGTCAGTGAATGTGCTTGATCATCGTTATTAGCTGCAGTAATAAACGTAGATGTGGGGGGCTGCAGCTTGGCTGCTGACCTGAGTTGCTGATGTGGGAATCTTGGAGTTCAAACCCACCAAAAAATTTCAAATTTCTACCCTGTTCACAACAGGGGCATGAAAGAAGAGGGGCATCCTATTCCATTGCCAGATGTCTCACCTGCCTCCTAGGTGCTAAATATCCAAACCACCAAATCTTCTCCCTGACAGCTACATTGCAGCTATATATTATCGATACAAAAAACTGTTGTAAACTGAAAACCTGTGTAGTTCTCTTTACACCTACAAAAGTTTAGAATCATGTTAATAGAAATTATACATTATACCATTATTAAATTCCTGATTAGTTGCAGAATATAATAATTGTGTTTGGGTCTGCATTATGTAATCTTATAGATGGCTGTCTTCCAGGGGAATGCAGACAGCCAAAAGACCTGAGTACTTTGCTATTGAGTTATGGAGCGAATCTCTGATCTATTCCTGGTTCTCAACTGTAAATTTGTCAAGATATTTTCACTATAGTCCTTTTCTTTGATCAATTTTATCAAATATCTAGTGTTAATACAGTGATTTTCAACTATGTCAGCATCCTGGTAAATATCCAGTATAACCAAGCAATGTCTACTCCTGGGGGAATTCTGCATCACTGCGCGTGCGCAGAATTCATGGCCCCTGCAGATTTCTTTGCTTCCCTGCAAAAAACTGACTTCTAATGGGGAAGCAAAGGGAAGTGACAAGAGCGGTCATGCACCCCTCCCCGGCAGTGCAGACAGGTCGGTTTGGGCACCCCGAGCAGCCGGTAGAGACATAAATCACCACCGGGTGGAGTAAAGGGGGAGCTGGTCAGTCGTGCGGGTGAGAGAAAGAGAGACACTGCCCCTCTCACTTGCTGTTGCCACACGTTTGGCGTGGAAGGGCAGGGCTTTGGGGTGTTTCTGAGGAGGTAGGCGTCGGGCAGACTCTGTCCCCTCAGTAGCCTGCCTGCTTAGTGAATTATTCCTATTGTTCTTATAGTGAATTCCCCCCAGGAGTATAAAATAGGTGTAAAAATTTTAAGGCTCCAGAGTGGTGTAAAGGAGCTATTGTAAAGAGCATCGTGGCCTTATAAATAAATGCTTATGGTGCTTAGAACTGGTCTAAATTTTTGGACGGAAAGAATTCCTATATAAATGTGCTCCATGAACTGTGTACTACTGATGTTTCTGGAGATGGTCAGTAGCCAATATAAATTGTGAGTTTGAGTCCCCAGCCCTCACTTGTTCTTTGGTTGTGTATGAGGTAACACTGAGTGTATGGCTACATACATTTGTTGACTAATAACTAGAAGTAAAGGGTCAATACTAGCTACATTAGACGTGGGGGAAGGGGGTTGGGGATTTCCTCCAATGCTCCCCACTCCCATTCTCTATCCATTGTATTGTAGTTTAAATAAATTACCAAAATAATTTAAACCAGCGTGATTATATTGCATTATTTTGACAAATAAAATATGCTGAATTTTGCAGAATTTTAAAATATTGTATGCAGAATTTTTAATTTTTTTGTGCAGAATGTTTAATTTATTGGCACAGAATTCCCCCAGGAGTAAATGCCATTTTAATCTCTACCTTTTTAAGAATTTTAGCTATTTCATACAGAGTCATCCTGAGAACTTGTAGTACTTTCTACCATTAAACACAAGTCAACCTTTCACTCAAACCATTTTGGATGCTTTATTAGGGTAAGAATATCATAAATCTATTTTCACATCAGTTGTACTGCAGGGCAAATTAATTCTGCCACATACATATCCATGAAGTTTCTGTAACACATTTTGAGTAGAGAGAAGAAACTGGAAGCAGTATAACTTGCATACCTATATATATCAGAAGTGTACCATCCTCTGTTGTTGAGGAGACCTGGATCCAAGAATCTCCCTTTATAAACAGCTTAATACAAAGAAATAACAATAACCTGTATTGCCCTACTGAGCTGCAAGAAAAAGGGAAGACAAGATTACTCATCATGGAGTAATATCTCTCTTTTCCCAAGGAGAACTTCTTTCTGCTCATATTGCAACACAATTGGCAGTTTCTTTTTATGAAATTCCCAGGACAGACACAGCAAAGGAGTTGCAGATCAAGATTTATGTGCATTGGAAGAGCTATGTGGTACTGACTGAACAGCACCTGTCCTAATGACTGGTTCCAACCAGTACTATTAGTCCATTATTACTAAGAGCATCATCTTTGGTTCCAGCTTCTACAAAAAAAAAAAAAAGTACATGGGAATAGTTCACATTTTATGAGGAAAAAAATCATGGAAAAATTAGAATAAATTGTATTTGCCATATAATCCATGCATATAATACCAAAGGTATCTTTAAATTTTACTAATATGTCTGGCAGC